TTAAGTTTGGGAGTTGACTGGTTGAGGTCGGTTTCTACGCAGTTATCCCCACCCTCCCGACCACCCTCCTCCACCCTCCCCCCCAAGCTCTGGTAGTCAAAATATCAACCAACATAGTTGGTAGGGGGGGGGGCGCCTCCTACTACTACTACTACTACTACTAATATTCATTCTTTACAGAAGGCTCTTGAAGCCAGCACGCGCCTGGTCGGGGCGTAGCTGTTGCTCTAGCATCTGCCTGGTCTGCCAGGACAGGGGGGATTTGATAGTTTCCCAAACTTAATATAGGCATATACAAGGGTTATAGAGGGAATATGTAGGAAGTATATAGAGATCATAAAGGGGTCATATAGTTTTATGACAGTGAAATGGTAGTTTCCATAATTCGGGCGACCCCAATATAGACTCCCAAATACTATAATCCTTTTTGTGGGGACCCCCTACATGGCATCCCTAATCTTAAAATATATTCGGATTCTGAATTCTATGATCACACCTAAGGAGGACGACTGCTAGCATGTACTGCGTTCATGAAGTTTTTATAACTTCATGTTGGTCTCCAGTTAGGCGTGGCTTCACCATCAGCATTGTAAATGCTGGTGCAACCACTCGGCAGCTTCAGTTCTGGCGAAGGGGGCAACCTCACTCGAACCATTGCGGCTTGGCATACAGCGGTCGGATTTACGCGGGAGTGCAGAGGACCAAGAACCCCGGGAGGAAGCCGAGAAGAAAGGGTCCTCAGATGGCCTTAGCCTCCTGTCATTGACCTGTTCCATCCGATTGCATGGCCCAATGAATCTGAAAGTGCTGAGCCTCTGCATTTCCAGCCAGTTCGAGACCTGCTCGACCACACCCTGCTCTGCACCTGTAGTTCAGGGGCAAAGGAGCATTGCTTCAGAGCTTTTTTAAGCCTATGCGGAAAAATACACAAACAGGTTTGGCGTTCTGGACACTTATGCCTGTTTTACGACAAGCTGCCGCCTCAGCTGTTTGAGATACTGGATTCGCTCTACCACGTCGACTACGGCTTCCAACCCTTACCCTCCCTATGACATTCAAGCTGAACAAAAGCAAGATGTCGTCTGGCACGATAACGTGTTGAGGTCCGGACTTGGAGTTGCAAAGCCTGGTTGTGGAGTGACTTGACGCCTGAGCCAAGGTAGGCTGGAGAGCCACACCCTTCCGTTCACATGCTCCAGGTTGATAGAGGAAGCTTTGTTTACTTTCTTTCCCATGCGGCTGTCTACCCGCCTCCAAAAGGGCTATTGTGACCTCTGGCCTCTCCGATCTTTTCAACTTGCCATGCCTTCTGAATCTTGGTGGCCCTACTCCATCAAATTGCCTAACCAAGCTCCGCTGCGGAGATAGGAACATGCATCTGATCTAGCTTCTTCTCCTTTTCATGCAGTCGTAATAGAACTGGCCAACAAATGCGCGCCGGCCGGGAAGCAACTGCACGTTACTTCTTCCTCTTGTGATGAAACGTGTTCTGATGTTGCCTCTTCCCCTTGCCTACCCCACCGGATGCTAATCGGCGGCAAATGTGGTAACCACTGACCTGTTGGGCAACTGCTAGGCCTGCGATATGCTTTGGCATGTTGTGTACCAGCGACAAGGTTATGGCTTCGGACATCGTTTAGATTGAGCTGGTCTAGAATGTCTAGAACAGAAAGTCTTCTGCGCGACAAAATGCTATCGAATCCCACATCAACTCACTTCATACTGAAACGGCTCACATATGGTAGTTTCCCCAAATAAGGGGACCCCAATATAGGCCCCAAATACTATGATCCTTATTATTGGGACCCCTAACAAGGTACCCCTAATTTTGGGAAATCCTAATCTCTAAAACCTAAACCCTAAACCCTATATATCCCTATAAAACCCCTATTAACCCCTTTAAAGCTACCCCTAATTTTGGGCAGAATCCCCATATTAAACGTAACCAAACCAAGCGAGCCTGGGAGCGGAAGAATCCTCCTCGGGTGGCAGCCTGCCCAGACTCTACCAAGACGTACTTTTACTTCAGTCAGTACCAGGGCCCTCCTTGTACCCTTAAATTGGGGTATATGGTCCCTAATAGCGGGTACTTAGGCCCTAATTGAGGGTAGAAGGAGGGTCTAGGTAGATGTCAGCAAGACGATGCCTGTCAAGCCACCGCACGCGAATCTTCATGTGATACTTCTCATAGACCGGGTCATGAACGATGTGATACCTCATTGACCAAAGCCAAGAGATCGACCCGCCTGGAACATGAGACTGCTATAGCCAACACGATGCATCATGAGCAGGCGAGCTGGTTTCGAGAGCAAATCTATAGAAAGGTTTTGCGGGGTGCGCATCACGTGATAAAAGGGCTGGACTGACGGCTTTGCTTGCTCCATTCCCGACCATTCCACCACCTTGCCATGAGCAAGATCAACAGAACAAGACACATGGATGCTTTCCAAAGTGTGACCCTCGTATTCAGCAGTTCATGCGCAATACAGAAACGTCTCTGTGCAAAGTCGCACCTGCAACATGATGGTTCGACGGCTCCCTTTTGCGGCGGAAACTCATTGCAAGGCACCAGAGGACAAAAGGTACATCCAGGATAACATGAGACTCCTGATACAAGGGCCACCCAAAAAGGACCGGTCCTATAGCACGAAACAGCAGAAATCCATGGGAGAAGAGACGAAAGAACTGAGCTGCCAGGCTCGACTTGCTCGAAGCCTAATGCTTCAACACGTGAGGCGAAATTGCGAGCCACCTGGACAAATCCAAGTGCACTTCCACATGGGCTTTGGTAAGTTGAGGTCCCCTTTCCTGGCCCCAAATTACAGGTGTTGGTTTAGAAAGGGCGTGAAAGGGCAAGCATTCAAAAGGTTACCTTTTGTTTGTAAGTCTGGCTGTTCGAGTTCAAGGACCTTCGCTGCGATTGCACCATCGCTCCCTTGATGCATTTTACTAGGCGCGATAACTTACGACCAGCAAGCATCGCACCAAACAACGGTTCAACAAGGCTGATCACTGCCGCACCTGGTGCATGAACGTGCGGCTGTTGGACGGCAACTGCATGTCCTCTCCAGAAGGCACCAGCTGCACACTTCTTCTAAGTGAACAAGGCAACTGCATGCAGACCAGCGGTTGAACTACCCCCCTGCCCCCAGAGGCTCCCAAGTGAAGCTGCTTTGGCCCATGGCTGCCTGGACACGCAAGGGCCCGGCTCTAAAGGCATCTGTAGACTTGCAGCTGGCTTTTTCCAGACTTAAAAACAGACGGAGCAAAAGCACCTGCACATCGGCTGCCTGATTGAGGCGACAACATGCCTGCTGGCTAGCCATAGAACAGAATGAAGCACTTGACTGGACCCTGCCTCTTCGAGGCAGGACTGCTGCAGCTGCTCCGTCAACCTTGTGTGCCATGCACGCGGCTGCGAGTCTCTCGCAAGGTGTCACCTGGCCTGTTGGGCCAGGTATCATTTATCATCTACCTAGCCTGGATTGACTGTGCTTTGTAGTGTTCCGGGAGACTCCTTGCTGCCAGGACACCGCTCCGCCAACCTGTTCACACAGCAAACTTGGCCAGAACTGGTGTAAGACGCGTCTGCAACAGGCATGAAAGCGACGCGCAGTCTGGTGGACTTTCATCAAGTTGATGGTAGCTTCTTGGAACAGCGCCATTGCAGCACATATTTACCACGCGGCACTTAAAACCGCTTGAGCTTTAAAGAAGTGGTCGTTGTAGCGCATCAAGAGCAGTGGGCTATATCCGGCCATGTCCAACCGTAATAGTCACATTGGTGAGCAGTTGCTCAAATGATAGGTCATGTGACCATACAGGATTGAAGTCATCTACCCTGCTGGCCTCTGCGGTGCTCGCTGCGTTGCAGAGGCGAGCTGCTCGGCAAAGGCCGTCAGCGCTGCAAGCATGGCTCGTGGCAGTTGGCGCAAAGATGCATCAATTCCATCCGCAGCGAGGCAACATCAATCAACTAACAGATGTGTAGCCGAACATGAATCAAGAAATCGCAGATGCGCGACACGTACAGCTGGGGACTGCCTGGTGCCTATATCTTCCAGGCCTTTTGATTCTGCACGTTCCGGAGCCGCTCGGCTGTCTTCGCCTAGCGAGGCTTGAGCAGGCCAAGAGCACAAGTCTTCAACAACTCCAGAAGTCCTTTCTTTGTCTTATTCAGTGTTCCAAACCTGAAGAGGCTTTATTTGGGGGTTATATGGGGATAATGGAAAAGAAAATGGAAACTACTATAATGTTGGGGCATAGGTCTTATAGTAGTTTCCATTTTATTTTCCATTATCCCTATATGGGTGGTTGTCAAAATTATGGTCCCTTTTTGGATCCCTATTATAATACGGCATCTAATATTTGGGGTACCCCAAAAGGGACCATAGTTTTGAAAAACCCATATAACCCCACTATAAACCCCATAATCCCTATAAAATCCTTTGGTATTCCCTGTGCCTGGCCTGGGCCTTGGCCCTCTGACTGGAAGGCGACCTCAGATCCGGAGCCGAAGGCGGAATTGCTTCAGACTCTTGACCTACAAGTAGGGTTTAGGGTTAGGGTTTAGGGTTTAGGGTTTAGGGTTAGGGTTTAGGGTTTAGGGTTTAGGGTTTAGGGGTCGAGCTAGCTGGAGTAGCTGCTAAACAGGTCATCACACTGCGAGTAGATGGCTGGTTACATGAACCACACAAACAGAAAGTTGGACTGAACGTCCACAGTTTCTGGGAGCCAGCTAGGATTGTACTCAGTTCATGGCCCTCTCTCGCCTCTTGCATGTGAAAACAAACCCTTGCAGGCACCTATTTGCCGGCTGCATCTGATACAGTAGCTGGATTCTGCTGTTTTTGTTTGTCAGATGGATTTTGTTTGAAGCCATCCACAGCCAAGGCAACACTGGGAGCAGTTCATCTCCGCTACCTCACACGGCGCGCGGGCATAGGCACTTCATCAAGGACTATTCTGCTTTGAGGCTTACCAGGCTCGACTTTGCCATGCTGAGCGGCTTCTGACTAGAGCCCTGTAGGTCACTTGGTGCGGAGGGCCTAGCCGCTGCACAGCAAACGCTTGGAAATAGCTGAGTAGCGTTTCTGTCTTCTCTTCCTGGGTCCTTGCACCTGCCTCACGCAGGAGAGGCGAGCCCGACATGGCTGGTTCGAAGGACCCCAAGGGCCCATTGACTGGGGAAAAGATCAAGCCCATCCTTCCAGCGAACGAACCCCTGCCTCAAGGCTACGAGTAGAAGCCAACTGCTGACTACACACCTGCACTCCATCATCTACCATCTGATTCAACATGATAACGCAGCCAGATCCATCGGAGCCGACCAAATGACTCAGGCCTAAGGGTCTCCACTCCCCTTTGCCTTCAACTTTCGGTCGAGTATACCAGTGACAAGTGCCCATCCAAGCTAAACTTCGTTGCGGATGGACCGCGTTTACCTCCTGGAAGGTTGGGACATCACAGCAAGAGTCATGGATGTCTACCTTGTTGATCACCCTCCGTGCTCCCTAGGCTATAGGAGAATTAGATCAGGTCTCATGGTTGGGTCGAGTCTACTGGAGTTTGAATGCCATCTCTCTACCCAGCAGTTAAGTGCTTGAAGAACAAAAGCACAGCCACGTGGCGCACAACTAGGCAAAACAAAAAGGTGCAAGTGTAAGGGAAGCAAGCTGAAGCTGGCTTGTGCTGCTGCGGCTTCAAGACAGGAGTCGCGAAGAGACCCTAAACCCCAAACCCTGAATATCCCTATAGAACCCGAAACCCTTAGCCTAAATATAGCTATATAACCCTATAACACCCATTCTTGTTGAGAAGGAAGAATCTGCAGGATCATGATTGTGCCTTTTCTGAGGTTCACGCTGAAGATAACCTGCAGCCACACAACATCAAGCTGCCGGTTGCAGCAAATCGCTAGAATCATCTCCTTATCAAGCATGGCTTTAACAACTTGAGTCACAAAGGCAACCCTTGTGAAGACATCTAAGAATTCAAGATCAACAGTTGGCTACTCCCCCTGGCATGTAGCAGTTAGCAGCTGTCTGAAGTGGCATCCTGCACAATTGCCCTGAGGTCCCTGCCGCGCGCCCGGGCTTCCAGGCTGGGCAGGGGTAATAGGGATAATGGACATTAAAATGGAAGCTACTATAGTATATTGGGGTAGTATAGGGATTATGGAAAACAAAATGGAAACTACTACGTATATTGGGGTGGTATAAGGATAATGGAAAATAGAAAGCTACACCGGGTCTGAGTTGGGTATAGATCCGCAGTCTGCTTCCAAATCCAAAGTCGGTCTGAGAGAACGAGACTGCAGGGATATGCTGCAACATGCCGTATCATGCTGTGTCCGTCATGTTCGTGAATCTGTTGCGCTCATTTAGGTCGATTCGAGCCTCGCCGGAGCTTTCTCTGTAGCCCGCAGGGCCCTGCCTTTGACAAAGGCTCGGGTCTCACAGAAATTGCACAAACATACCATCACAAGTTGTTTTTTAAACATGGCTCCTGCGATGGCATGTTCCAGCGGTTGCTGCACCCAAAGTGTTGCTGTCAGCACACTGGTCTTGCTACAAAGAAATTGCGCCATGATGTTGAGCATTGTTGGAGCTGCCTGCTCGACGGCGACCCTTGGGGTGTCGAAGACATGGCAGACTCGCGGAGCCTCGGCTTACTCTGAGGCTGTTGCTGAATTTCCTTTCTGCAAAAGTTAGTGGCAACACAGGTAGCCACTACGCTGACAGCCGCAATGATAACGCTAGCGCAGCAAGTTTGGTGATCGCGTTCGTACTAGGCATGTGTGCACATGACTGATGTGAACAGAAGGGTTCTGACTCAACATCCAAACTACCTGCTCAACAAGGCACGCACCAGAAGTCTTTAACATCAGTTATCGTGCTAAGAAATAATCATGCAGTAATCCCCCTGGACCTTCAATGAAAACAGTACTCTGATGATTCCTGGGGTATACCGAAACAAACACGAAAATGAGGAAGCCCTCTGCAAGAGCGGGTTGCATGAATGCACATTTTGGCGATCAAAACGAAAATTCGGAAGTTCTGCGCAGTCAGCATGGAAATGTCTTCTGAGTGCTGTTACGAGTAGAGAAACTTGTGCTGCTTCGCTTTATCATTACCATTCAAGATTACACTATTACTATCTATTTAGATTGCCGATGCCACGACGACGGCGGCTACTACTACGACGACGACTATACCACTACCACTGCTGCCGCTGCCGCTGTCGCAACGGCTACTGCTGCTGCTCCACTACTATTACACTACTACGACTACTACTGCTACAACAACAACTACAACAACAACAACTACTACTATTACTACTACTACTGCTACTACTACTACTACTACTACTAGCCCCCCCCCACTCCCCCGCACTGCGTTTTACCTAAAAGTAATCATAAATTCCGCGAGGAGGCAGCTAGTAGCAGTAGTAATATAACAATGTCAATGTATAGATGCTGCCCGGACCTAGCAACAGTGGGTTAAAGGGGCCATTTTGTAGGGGCTCTACGTGGCAATCTCTTTGAATGTTATGACACTGTTGTTAGGTGCGGGCAGGAGCGATGCACGGCCAAAATTGGTATTTCGGAGGCCCGGGTTTTCACCTGCGCACTCTCGTGGATGCGCGTCTGAGCACATCTACGCACAGTCTGTGCAACTGAACTTGTTCGCGGATTTGCCGCGGCAAGTTCATCATGCCGCCAGTGCACGGCAGCCATTCCCAGCACAACTGCGTATTCCGGTCGTCCAAAGTCCACCAGCGGCGACATCTTAGTAGTCACCTCTCCGTGGTGCTTACCACTCGCGTGCGCGCGTGGTTGCTGCCCGGACCTAGCCACAGTGGGCTAAAGGGGCCATTTTGTAGGGGCTCTACGTGGTTCTATCCTTGAATGTTATGACACTGTTGATGGGTGCAGGTTGCCACTCCCAGCGCAATCGCTTATTGCGGTCGTCGAAGCTCCACCAGCGGCCACATCTCAGAATTACCTACCTGCTTAGGGTTGTTTGCACGGAACTACCCCCCACCCCTCCCCATTCCCAACCTATCGTCCTTACAATGAA